AATCTATTTTATTTTGTTTTTGTTGCTCATTAATAAAAAAAGCTCACACATTTAAACGAATTTAATATGTAGGTTTCCCATAGAATACAAATAGAAGAATCGCCACTAAAGTAATTTACAATGTCATCATAATAAGAAGGTTGTAAGCGAAAAAGATCCTCTAGAATGCAAATCAATAAAAAAAATATAGCAAATTAAGAAAGAAATCATTGGCTCATTAATTTTGTCAAGAAAAAATAATGATGATAGATTAGCAAAGAAGATCGTCATCACTGAAAACCTTAGGAGTCATGATAGCTATTGAGTTCGTGAAAGAGATTATATCAAGTTTTTAATGCCTGAGTACCATTTCCATACATAAGAAGTACAATATACTTTGATTATGTTTAGACTTTGATGGTTCGTGATTTTTCGTTTCAAGGAAGAGACACAAGAGGCAGAATACTTGACGACAAATTTGTTTGTTATGAGAAATACTCTTAACATTCAACGAAAAGAATACATGAAGGCGTAGAGGACCTCTTCAGCCATTGAACGTAGCAAGGAAAGGAAAATCAATTACAAAAATAACCAGGATCCAGGACTCTAGTTACAGCCTTATCTTCCTCAGCTTCAGCTCTTTCTTGCTTGTTTTACATTTTTACCTGCGTATATCTTTTAGCATTCTGATAATTCATACCACCCGTGTGTCCTCATCAATTAACTTCATAAAGATCCCAACCAGTTCTAGACTTCTAACCTACTAAACGAAATACACCTATCCTCCCAGAGAAATACGAGGTTCACCCTACGAAGGGGGTCTTAAAAGCAAATTTGCGGAGCATGAATTCTACACACATAGGAAGTGACATTATGCATAGAGTTATAGGGAAGCAACATAGGAAATACCTTTGATATTCAGGGTAAACCTGAAATGATGGCTGAATAGCTTGTGATACATACTGAGCAAGGGGAGATGGGAAAGGGAACTTTGCCTTCCTTATTCTTCTGCAATTTTCACCAAAATTTTGTGATTTCATCAGCCTGATAATGATAGAAAATCAAATGAACCAAGCAAAAGAATTATGATATTTAAGCTTACATATCCACACGAATTGAAAAAAACACTCACCTGAATACAAATCACATGATAATCCCAAATAATCAACCCATCAGCTCATTAACTAGCCTTTTGGAGCCACAGTGGGACTTAAAAATTTATCTTCAAATATGTCAAACACTCAACATTCTTGTGACAATGGGATTATTTATTTTTATAATTCAACATATGTAATGTGAAGACAACGTAGCTATAGTGTTCGGCTACATCAGTGCAGCACTTCAAATGAACTGCGATGTCTGTGATTTTTCCATCTTAAACGATGCTGGAATGTTTGTGAGAGATGGAGATTGGAAGGATGTCGCGCGGGTGGAAGCTGGAAGGTTCAATTGCAAGCTAAAGCCCTTCACATTACGTATAGCGGGTCTTAATTTCGAATCGTGTGCCAAGAATGAATTAGCTTCTTGGACACGAGCGTATGGAGTTGCTGCTGGAATCTACCTGCTGTGAATAGTCGACTGACATCCGAAATTCTATACACAACTGAATTTCCAGCTAGAGACAGTAGATCAGCCATAACCAAGTTTGAGAAGCAAAACTCGGTAGACCTGTTTCCTACAGCGATGAACATTATCGCAATGTTTGGACTGTTTCATCTTAACAAAGATCATACATATCGTACTGGAGATTCAAATATGGAGCGAATCGGGAAGTCATATGTGAACACTCTCAGAACCTTACCGAACAGTGGATTCATAGAAGGAATTTTGAATAACCTTGAGCCAATAGTTAGGACTGCGCCACATCCTCTAGGGTTAGCTCAATGCTACTATGTTGCACAGGTCATGAGCATTCATGGACAACTCACACAGCTTTTGCAGATCAGAATCAGGACTTGTCCACCGCCTGTTAGGGGTGTAAAATGGGCCGGGCCGGGCTAGCCCGGCCCTCAAACCCTCGAGCCCTATCACTTTTAGGGTCGGGCCAGCC